GCCGGACGTTCTGCTCAAGGCCCGATATTCTGCTGAAGGCCCAACGTTCTGCTCAAGGCCCGATGTTCAGGCCTGACATCTTCATCTAAGGCCCTCACATTCACCAGAGTACCGCCCTACTACAACGGTCTTTCTGACTCAGGTCTCCTTCCGATTACAGTCCATTCGACCTCCGTCGTCTACTACGGTCCTTCCGACCTCCATCAACAGACAGCGGTCTTTTTACCCTGGTCACCTGCCGACTACGGTCCTTCTGACCTATGTCGCCTACTATGGTCCTTTCGACCTCCATCAACATACAACGGTCTTCCTGACCCCGTTCTTCTGCCGACTACGGTCCTCCCGACCTCCGTCACCTACTATGGTCCATCCGACCTCTATCAAAAGATAACGGTCTTTCTGACCCCAGTCTCCTACCGACTACGGTCCTTCTGACCTCCGTTGCCTACTATGGTCAATCCGACCTCTATCAACAGACAACGGTCTTTCTGACCCCGGTTAATTGCCGACTACGATCCTTATGACCAGACAAACATGTATATGTAACTCCTACCATGTAATGCAATCTATATGATGTATATTTGCTACATCAATTCAAGACCTTCTCCCAATGAAGGGCCTCATTTGTAATCGACTACAAATACTAGTGGATTCATTCAAACTGGGCCAGGCCCCGTGGTTTTTCCCCTTTTTCAGGGGTTTTCCACGTAAAAACTATGGTTTCTTTTATGAACGCTACACCCTCTCTTTTTCTGTGTGTGTGCTGGATCTTCGTACAATGCTAAGACGTTAAACTATATACTTCTCTACCGCCGCGAATACTCCAGTACGCAACAGTTTGGCGCCGTCTCTGGGAAAGTGATTCCCGACTGGGGGGAAATTATTGCTCCAAGCTCAAAAGGTTATTCAACTGCTATTGATGCATCCATGTTATTGGAATCAGATCCGGACTGGAGGACAACCTTGACTATAATTTAAGTCAAGAAGATCTCTCAAAAACATTCATATCCAAGACGATATACAAGGAAACTCCCTAAAAAAATGCAAGGAAGCTTATGATAAATTTCAAGACACATACAGTCCCTTACTGGACTTCCACTCCTTGAACAAGGTCTTAATCTCGACTTCAAAAAGACAGTAACGGTCTAAAGATAGACCCTCCTTCAACTTTGATTCGGGATACACCCGACGTTCGCCCCCTCCTAATCAAAGCAATATCGATCCTAGGAGGATTTGATTCGACCTCTCCCACACAGGTTAACGTCGTCGAGCAGAGCTCCGACATATAACAACGGAAAAGTCCTACATCCTTGGTGGATTCTCTCGACCTCTTCCACACAGGTTAACGTCGTCGAGCAAAGGTCCCGACATACAACCTCGGAAAGGTCCTACATCCTTGGTGGATTCTCTCGACCTCTTCCACACAGGTTAACATCGTCGAGCAAAGACTCTGACATACAACCTCGGAAAGGTCATACATCATTGGTGGATTCTCTCGACCTCTTCCACACAGGTTAACGTCGTCGAGCAAAGGCCCCGACATACAACCTCGGAAAGGTCCTACATCCTTGGTGGATTTTCCCGACCTCTTCCACACAGGTTAACGTCGTCGAGCAGGGCTCCGGCATACAACCTCGGAAAGGTCCTACATCCTAGGTGGATTCTTCCGACCTCTTCCACACAGGTTAACGTTATCGGGCAAAGGCTCTGACATACAATCTCGGATAGGTCTTACTTCATTGGTGGATCCAATATCAATTAACATCATAGAGCAAAGGTTCTGACAAACAACCTCGGATAGATTATACATCCTTGGTTAACGTCACCAGAATTCCGTCAATGGACTTCTTGCACAAAATTAAATTTCTACATGTTGTTGAATTTCCTCCTATCGCTGAATTTTTGCTTTGCAGGACTTTCGACGGACTAATACTCGACGTCGGACTTTTTGCGTGTCGTTGGACTACTACCTGTCGACGGACTACTGGCCGTCAAGGGACTTTCGACAGTCTTCTACCCGGCGTCGTACTTCTCTCTATCGTCAGACTTCTGCTCGTCAGCGGACTTCTACTCGACGTCAGACTTGTGCTCGTCAGCAGACTTCTACTCGTCGTCGGACTTCTGCTTGTCGACGAACTTTCATCGGTCTTTTGCCCGAGGCCGTACTTCTACCCGTCGTCGGACTTCTACTCGCTGATGGACTTACATCAGTCTTCTACCTGACGTTGTACTTCTACCTGACTACGGACTTCTGCGTACCGTCGGACTACTAACCGTCGTCGGACTTCTGCTCGTCAACGGACCTTCTTCAGTCTTCTACGGACAGAAGGACAGAAGGACAGAAGGAGAAGAGAGAGAAGGAAGAATCTCCGGACTTCCTTGCAGAGAGAGGGGCCTTGGAAGACCAAGGAAACACCTCAATTGTAAGGACAGAGGGAGAAGAGAGAGAAGGGAGAATCTCGGGACTTCCTTGCAGAGAGAGGGGCCTTTGAAGACCAAGGAAACACCTCAATTGTAAGGACAGAAGGAGAAGAGAGAGAAGGGAGAATCTCCGGACTTCCTTGCAGAGAGAGGGGCCTTTGAAGACCAAGAAAACACCTCAATTGTAAGGACAGAGGGAGAAGAAGAGAAGAAAAGAGGAGAAAGAGAAGAGGAAAGACAATTTTTCTAAAGGCCTTTGGGGCATATTTATAATTTTTTTGGAAAAGATGTGAAGTTTCTAGAGTTCTCCAGAATTTTTGAAATTTTCAAATTTTTCGAAATTTTTTCAGAATTTTTCGGAATTTTTTCAAAATTTTTTAGATTTAAAAAATCCATGTGGGCCCCCCATAAAAAAAATTCGAAATCGCGTGGCAACTTGCCGCCGCCGGTGGTAGTCGGCGGCCGGCCAGCCGGCCAGTCGGTTCGGTCGCATAGGTTTGTCCGGCCCGATTTTCGGCCCGAACGGTCCAAATCCGACGTTTTTGGGTCCCCTACACATTTTTCGATGTTCCGGACTCAATTTTGACACTTTCGGAGCTAGACGGGGCCTCTACGATCAAGTTTGAGCAAACACTTCATTTTCGGAATGCAATTTTTTCGTTTTGCCAATGCAAATTTTCGACACATATTTTCGGACTCCTGGAGCTTCGACGTCCAAAAATAGGGGGGCAACTGATACGTCAACATGAAATTATCTTGATTGGGCATGAATCTCGAGGCAAAAATGAAGTTTGGAACTTCAAAAATTAATCCGGAGACCATCTCAACTCCGATTTCAACAAGCTTACAGTCAAACTGAGCGTATCAGAAATACGAATCTCACGACACCAAATTCAACACAATCCGAGCCCAAATGAGCCCAAATTAAGGACCCGAAGCGCTCTTGGAAGCTTCGTAGCACTGTTTGAGTTACCAAATGGTTTTCGATTTTAACAAGCTTATACTCGAATCGAACGGCTCGACGAGACGAATCCAACGAGCCCAAGATCATCGAATTCCGACATCACTAAGGCCCTCAAATGATCAATGAACGGTGCACGATCATAGGATTCAGCATCGGCCGTCCATTCGACCACTCCCAATTCGCCATTGATCTCAGACCTATTTACGGGTCATGCCACTCCATAAAATGTATAAATAGAGCCCTCATTTCTCATGAGAGGGGGGTCCAAGCAAGAAGAGAAGGAAGAAGCTCCTCCTCGACCACCGCTGGACAACTGCAGGAGCATCGCCGGACCACCGCCAGAGCCTCGCCGGACTACTGCCGGACCACCGTCGGAGCATCGCCGGAGTTTCACCGCACCACCAACTTAAGGCCCGACATTCAGGCCTTGAGGTTCATGCCCGACGCTTAATTTAAATAATTAATTTTAAAATATGCAATCATTTAAAAATTAAAAAAGCTAATTAATAAATTAAGCATTTAAAACTTAACTTTGATTAAACATTCAAATAATTAATTCAAATCAAAATAAAATAAAAGGCTTGAAATTAATGTTCCACTAATCCAATTTATGTATAAACTAACAAAAGCTCTCCAACTGAACGGCTATCCAATTAATGTTCCACTATTAGCTCAATAGTTAAAAATAAAACTAGTACTGAAATAAAACTAGTATTGTTAAAAAAAAAAGAACTAACAAAGTGAGGGAACAAAACATTAATTTTTTATTTGTTATTTTAACAATTCACTAATTGAGAACGAGAATAACGGAAACTAAAGATTTATAATGTACATTTTTTATAATTATTATTTATATTATTAATTTGTTTAGTAATATGCTGATTGGCTTCAGTTAGACGGATACAACTTGTTACCATTGATCGTGGGTTCGATACCACTTAATGCCAATGATTTTGTTCAACAACATATGCCTTCTATAGCAAATTTTAAGCCTTGAGCATCCTCACATGGTCAACTGTAGGTGTTACACTACTAAGTTTAATTGGCCATGCAGACTCATGAGCACATCCACTTGCATAGTAGAATATTAGATTTACACACCCGTCAAATATTTTTGAGCATAATAAGGTTGGTCTATCTCACACTATAGATGTTCGCACGCATAGGATGAGCACATATACTACACATTACATTTCTATAGTTACTATAGGATGATTGATATAACTGGACTCCTCTGATGAATTCATATATGTGGCTACCTACCACTAACTGGTGGAGTACTCAATCTTTTGAGCACATGTAAATCAAACTAAGTTATATATATGCATATACTACTATTATAAAAGAGGCTTAATTTCCTTCCCCAACATATCTTGGACGCTTCATCTTCAACCCGTCCTCCATAGTCTTCGGCTTGCCCTAGCTTACTTCAGTCCGTAAGGTATGTCTCTCTCCAATTAATTCCGTCTTCTGAAATTCTTCAACGTCTTGCTGCCTTCTCTCGCCATCATCTCCTCCGGTAGGTTTCTTGGCCTAAAATTCTTTAATGTTAGTTTCTCCCGGCATTTAATCACCGGCTTTTTCATTTCATATTTCAACTTCTTAAATGTTTCTCCAATTAATTAGGTCTACTGGAATTCTTCAACGTTTTTTCAATATTTGGATGCATGAAGATGAATTCAACCGTCGAAACTTTTCAAACTCCGATCGTGGCCGTAAGATGACTATGCATGTTCTCTTTCTCCCTTATATATTATTCTCATATGTTTTCCCTTTAGCTATTTCATTTCTGGATCTCTACTTCATCGAACCTGTGAATCTAGACACTATTTCGGCTTCAAGTTTAGGTAATTAATTTTATGATGTAAATCGTTTATTAAGTTCATCTTTAGAAGTGAATATATTTCTTGTACAAATCATGTTTCTTAAAATTGTCTGATAGCTCTTTCATTTTTGGATACTATTTCTGCTTCAGTGAACCGATGAATCTGGACACTATTTCGGCTTTAAATTTTGCTAATTAATCTTATGCCCATTAGATATCTCTGCATTAATGACCAGCCAACTCAACCTTATAAATCAAGACGGAGTCCTTTGCTTGGCATGCCTCACCGAATATAATACTTCAAGGAGGCTAAAGAATTCCAATGATATGAAGAAACACTATAAATGGCACAAAAAGAAGTACAATCATTACTCTGGAAAGTGCGGAATTTTTTTTCTACGAGAAGCGGACTTGTCCATCCACAGAGAGGACGTAGATCACAAAAAGAAGTTCTCTTGCGCTAGGGTTTCTTCAACATCGGTCGTCTTGCTCTGGAGCGGCAGCGAAGATGCCTTCGTTCAAGACTTTCCGGATCAAGAAGAAGCTGGCAAAGAAGATGAGGCAGAATAGACCCATTCTCCATTGGATTCGCATGAGGACCAACAACATCATTAGGTACAATGGTAAGCACAGGCACTGGAGACGCACCAAGCTAGGGTTTTAAGGATACTCTCATGTGATCGCTGATTTGGGTTCAGGGTAACCGCACTGTTTTCCCTTTTATTATTTGAATGACATGTGTTTTAGAGTTCTGTTTTGTTTTAGTTATTTATGAAAATTCATTGATGTGTTGGAAACTTTGTTAGTTTTGAGTATTGAAACTGTGAATATTTGCTACGCTCTTTTATATGAATTTCAGATTGTGGTTAAAATATATATATATATATAAAGAAAAAAAAAATAAAAAAAAAAGATCACAAAAAGAAACCAACTTGATAGATTTGTGATTGGCCCAAATATATTTTTATTTTACTCTTTTTTTTTTGTGTGAGAAAGGCTTAATTTCCTCTCTTATTTTTAAAACCATCAAAGTTAAAATGTCACTTGAAGATTCTATTCAGAAAACAAAGCAAAGTACTTAAATAAATATCCATGTCAAACAAAATATCATGCACTTAATATCTCATCATGCCTCTCCTAATACATGATTTGCTTGCTTCATTGTTAGTGAGAGTAAGTTAAATGAATTTGTACCACGAGCTTCCAGAACTTTGCATTTTATGTTTATAATAGAGGCTTTTGTTTTGTTTTGTAATATCAAAGTAAATGAAAGAAAATGACCAGGCCATAAAATTCATGACTTTGTTATACAGGTTTCATACTAAACAAAGAATTTTTGGATGAATACATAAGCATGAACAGCAAAAGCATGAACAGCAAAAGACTTCGTTGCTTTCCAACAAAAGCTCACTAAATGCTTGGTATAATCACTGAACTTTTTTTTTTTTTTGACAAATACTAATATAAACTGCAAACTACTCGTGGAATACTAAAAAAAGAATCATGAAAGAACAACGTCACATTGAAATATGGAAGCATACAGTTGTCAAGGGATGACCATCTTAGTGACAACAGAACCACAACCACCAATTAATTTCACCACAATATGGTGCTTCAAAAATCATCACAGCCAAATACCATGTAATGCAATTCAAAAGAAAAAAAAACTGCTTGCCAAATAGAGAATGGCTTCATTTGGCCTTAGTGGAAACTAGATATGCAAATATCAAATTGAATGATGATACCCCAAACACGAGCATGCTTTCCCTAAACAAATTCGACAACAAATCACATATCCACAAGAGATCTTTTTTTTTTTAACAAGAATACATCACAATTCTCTTCCAAGGACATTTCATCAAACTTCTTCTGTGCAATATACTTGTAAAATTGTATAAAGAAAACTAATATGAGAATCAAGCTTCTAACTCATACAAATCCAAAAATGTTATAACTAAGCTATTGTAAAATAATCAAGCATATAAATCAACCCTCCAAATAATTTTCTCCAAGAAGTAAATTCTACTGAATAGATATTTTCTTTTTTCTTCTAAGGAAAACAAAACAAGAAGAAAAGGAGAAATGCCATAATCCAAAACATCCTAAATACTTTGAATCAAGAACACGTGATTCAAGAATTTTTTTTTTTGTTTGCTCACAATATTTTCATGTAACGAGTATTCATAAAGTTTAAGAAGCCTTCACAAATCACATTAACTATGCTTTGTAGAAACAGTAGAAGAGAGGGCACAAACCATATGAGATTTACCTATGCCGACGATGCAAACTTTTCCAAAGAAACTCATGAAATTCCCACTTTTATCAAAGAAAAAAAACTCTATCAATTCTTAATAGGCATTATCACAAACATTTCACGTGCATATTTTGGCAAGAAACGAACATGGCTTCTCATATTTTTCTACCATTAACACCTAGAACTCTAGCTCATATAGCATGAATCAAATATAAATTTGACACATTAGTTGCTCATTTCAAGCAACATAACTCAACATAGCATATCTAGCAACCGTAAAACACAACTAAAATCCTTACAGGCAACAAGGATGAAAAAGAACTATATGAAATCACGTGGCTTAAACAGTGAACCATTATAAAATAAGCTTTGTTCTAAGTGAATCTACACATATTACCATCATCTAAACAAGATGAACTTTCTATCAAATCCATTTCACTTGGACAATGAGAAGGAGCAATGGGAAAAAGAGAGAAGGAAAAGAAGAAAAGAAAGGAGAAGAAGA